CCAAATTTCACCCACAAGCTTTATGATTAAGCAATTTAGTCCCAAAGTCTCAACTCTTTTCAAATCAATCCTTCATCTTTTGAATTTAATCGAATTAGTCCTCTATCTTTCGAATTTTATCAAATTAGTCCTTTTAATTTTTATTTATGTTCATGGTGCATGCATGTCTTGATTTTGTTCATTTTAATCCAAAAATTTAAATGTGTTTCAATTTGGTTTATCTCTTTTTTTAAAGTTTGCTTATTAAGACTCAAACATCAACATGATGAACAAGTTGAATTAAAACCCCAATGTTAAAGTATGCAACCGTGTTTAAACGGAGGATTGTGAGGTGCGCGTATGCTCTTCCTCACTCTTAACCGAACCACCGAACCCCGATCTCTGTGCAGACCCGTTTTAGGTGACTTGTCCCACCTTATAATTTGGATGAGTGGCGACTCCCTTTTTCTTTAATATTTTCACACTTAATCATTTTAAGTGGTCGTCAACAGATTGGCGACTCCACTGGGGACGGAACCCAGAATCTCTTGTTTCCAAATTCTGGGTTCACGAGGGTCGAGCTAATACTTTAACTTTGGGGATTTTTCAGCTTTTGATTTTCTTCGTTTGTTGAGTCTTTGTTGGTCTTTGTCATCTGTTGCATGTGCTGGTTGTGTATTGCTTGTTGCTTGTTGCTTGTTACTTGTTTTGGTTGTTGCTTTTACTGTTTTTTTACCTTTTAGTGATTATTTTACTATATCATGACATGCATCATACCTTACTCATATGTTCATGCATCATATCATCTCACATGCTCATCCATCATTGATATTATATGCTTATTCATCATGCATCATGCTTACATGCCTATTTGCTTGTGTGTGGATATACTCACCTTTTGCACTTGGCTATGGAGTACTCAGTGAGTCTCTTCCCTCTTGTGTGATTATTTATATTTTGTTGCATGCTAAGTGTTGGTTGCTTTGTGTTACTAACCTTTTGCATTTGGCATGGGAGTACTAGGTGAGTCCCTTCCTGTTATGTAAATAGGTGTGTTTGTGGATGCTATATTTGTTGAGTGCTTTACATGCTTTATTTGATTGCTGTGGGATATATGTTTCTATTTTTGTGGTTGCCATTATGCAGGTTATTCAAGTGTCATGCCCCTTGCACACACTCACTCTCATTTTGCATTAGGTTCGTGTTGGAGGTGAACCCGACCTCTAGTCTGGAATCCTTATGAATCTGGCCTGGAAGAGCAATTCTTCCCGCTTTGAGGAGTAAGGTTGGTTCCCGTTAGGTTGTTTCCATTGGTTAATACGACACTTGATGATGTAATATCATTCTGTGTATTAGCTTTTGGAAATATCTCCCATTAATTCCGAAAGGATAAATGGTTGAGAAGGCCTAATGCCCTTTAGGAAAACATGTATTGGCCTTAGAGAGATACCAACCTTAAGACATGTTTCCCTTAGCATCCCACCTATGAGGTTAGGAATCCCATGTCTAAGACACAAAGGGGCATTTTTCTTCACTAACCTTGTCTTCGCATATAACAGGCTTTCGTTTTTATATACATTTGAGGTATGATTAGTTATTCATCTTTTGCATTTAGACATCATTCTTAAGGTAAGGAGCATTCCATGCACTTTGTATCTTCATTTTCAACCCCATGCATTATTAAAAAAAAAAAAAAAAGAGTTCATGATTGTTTCACATGTCATATGTCCATTCTACTCATTTCACATTAAATCTTCAATATGTCTTGAAAATTTCACATGTCATATGTCCATTGTATCACATTTTCCATCTCATGCATTGCAAAATATATTTTCATGTTCATCTCATGTGACATTCTCCATTTTGTTCATTTTAAATTTCATTTTTCATCTCAT